AGAGACATATTTTGTTGGTTCTGTAAAGTATGAATTTCTATTATGGTTTGTCGAATACATATACATAATACATACAGGAAAGAAGATCAACTTACCAACTGCGGTGGTGGCGGAGGAGGAGCTTTTAATTGTTGATCAATTGCGATCTTTTGTTGCTCAATATTTTGAATTTGTCTCAAAGCATGTGTAACAAACGCTTGATGTTGTGCTTGATAATTATCAAAGGTTTGTTTCGTTGATGTAGTAATCGGTGTAATTGCGCTGGCATGTTGTTCAACCAAGTTAGCCTGATATTCAGACCAAGATGTGCTTGGCTGTTTCAATTTATCTATAATTCCTTCATCAAAGTAATTATTTTTTGACTCCCATAAACTTAATAGCTTATTTAATTTATTAAGTTGTTCTTCTGATGCAGCTAATGAAGTGTTACAGAACATGGGAACAACAACACTTTCCATTGCCTTGCGAAGATCCATAGATTTTTTTCTTGCACTAAAGAAGTTTGAAATTAAATATCGTGCACAACTATTTTTATGAAAGTTATCAAACTTTATTATAAATATTATATTTATACTGAAATTGAAGTGTTAAATTTTCCATTCACATTTAATTAGATAATGTAATTTAATTCAAATTTTTTACAAATGTTTTAAGATATAAGATCTGTTACTGTTTTTCCAAACAAATATCATACTTACCAATGATGTAGGACATCGTTGACCAGGTAGATAATATGGAGTTTATGACTAAAATTGGTTGCCTGAATGACTCTGAAAGAAACGATAAAAAATTAATTGATTCACTACTGTTAATAGTATATGGCTAAAGTCAAATATAACATACTTTTTCAGCAAATGGTCTGCAACAACTTGATTGCTTTGTGGTGTAATAGAATTCTGAAGTATCCAGGCTTTCCCTGCACTTATGCTATCTTTTGTGCAACTATCAATGATAGGTTGTAATACCGCATCAAATGCAGCAAGGTCTGTGTTTGTGCTTTGTGCACTGTTTTGTAAAGCTGTTTCTTGAGCTTGTCTCACAGCATCCTCAACCCTTCCTTGTTGTTGCGCCATCAATGCAGCATGTTGCGCAGCCAGATTTTGTTCTGATTGTCTAACTTGTTCCTGTAGCGTTGTCTGCTGTGACTGAAGATTTGCTAACTCATTTTGAAGCCATCCAGGAGGTCCGCCAATGTTAACCGGTTGAGTAACACCACCAATAGATGGATTCACACCTCCCATAGCACCAGGGACTGGTCCAATTGGTGGTCCTGCATTTCCTGGCCCTCCAATTTGTCCTAGTACACCAGGTATAACTGGACCACCTTGATTTCCCACTGGTCCAATTCCCACAACTGGATTTAATCCATTGTTCTGAGTATTTAGGCCAGGTGCAAGATTGACGTTATTCAGTGGCTGCGCGACGGTAGCGGCTGTTTGCTGCTGCTGCTGCGAAACGTTTAAACGTGGGTCTGCATTTTGCATTGGATTTATTCCTTTTTGCTTTAAAACTGTAAACGAATGACGGTGGATTATTGTAAGATGTTTGATTCCTTCAATGGATATTGAAAAAGTATACAAATAGTCCAATTTCTGTTGAGTCTTATCTTCTACCAGTGCATAATAAAATTCTTGGCATTTATTAGAGAATTATATCGAAAATTCGGTAAGTCTTTTGGGAGCACTATATTCTTTCCCTGTTTTATATATTATATATATACATGTATTTTTTACTTTTTTTTACAGTACTAGGGTATTACAGGGTATTATAGTGGGTTGCAGTTCCCACATAGATTGAAGCAATATATCAACAACGTAGTCCGTATTAGACAAGCTCCATTAAGAATCTTAAAACTACATCTTCTTAAAATCACCATTGCCAAGAAATAGAATATGTCTTTAGCTAAAGCATTCTGCTTAATAAATAGCAATCCCAAAATCTTGAAACGAAGTGCTCATATTCGATGAATAATAGTTTTGTATGTTCACTATGACGAATTCAGACCCTTTCACCCGTATCTCTTTTTCAAAGTCATTCCTTGTTCGTTGAATAAAGCATGGCCATTATGCTTCTCAATTGTTGTAGCTGTTAAGGGGCTGTATCCCACTTACTGGCTTGCTCTGTAGTCACTTTGTATTGATAGTAGTTGAAGTGCTCTCCACCGAACAGGAAACCAAATTTTGGGTTGTCCTTCTGCTTGTTTTTCGTCATCTGCTCAAACTCCGGTCCATTGCGAGCCACAAACTGAGCCAGTTTGTCTATGATGTTCCGTAACTCTGTATCTGGGTATTATACCAAAATAAACAGAATTAGTACAATAACCTAACAATAATGAATTACTTATACAATTATTACAATATAAATGGCAATATTTAAATACAGTACTGAAATAGGATCTCTTATTTTTTTAAAGTACGCAGTCCTAAATCAGCCCATCGTAACCTGAAATATTGAATCTGTTTTGAAATTTATCACTTTGTGCACGTATCTACGGAGATTTGCCTGAGGATAATTTAATTCGTCGAGTGAATTGCTTTTTAATGGTAGCCTAATACGTTGCACAGGTTTACATAACCTACTATTTAGAATCTACATTTTGTCTTTTTTAAACGTATCTCATTATTTCCATTGCATGGAAACTCACAAATCCCCAATTCTGACTAACTAAAATGCTAAAATGATAGATCATAGACATTACGGTTAATAAAAAAGATGGAACGTTAATATGCTCGCCCGGAGTGGGAATGTGCAAGACCGCGCTTGGCCAAATCACCAAATCACAACATTCTTTTCTTACCTGCAGGTGCCTGGTCCATTATCACGATTACTCTTTTACTTTTACACCGAATTCGATCACGTTTGTTATTACTTTCGTTAACACTTTTCCGTACACGATTGTGGTACGGCTCCGGAAAACATTATTTTTTCACAATGAACACGACAACGCTAGAAGTCGCCATTAATACTCGAGTATTCATGTTTCAAAAAACCACCACTAGAGCGGCTGACACGCCAATTTATCACATGCGGAAAATTCTCCATTTCGGCTCATTTTCATTTACGTTTCGTAGGGTTTGCTTTCTGTCAATTTTCTATAATAATTGTGTTCGCATCGATTCCTTGTGCAATAACTTTGAACGGTAAATATTTACACTAATATATTTTCATCAAAAGATCAAGATTCTACCGCCACATTATTTTTACAATTTTCTAACGTAAACGTGTCTTTTCTCATAATGCGTTCACTATATTAGAAAATACAATATTGTAAATTCCTTTTATGTGACGCTTACTTTGTTACGTTTTAATTATTTGTTGTTTATTGTAGTTAAACAGTTTTAATATTATCAATATCGTTTCATTTATTAATGTTGCTACTTAACCTATTGCGTCACGTCTGTCACGTATTCAAAGCAGTTTAATTTTATATTTTTCATCTATTATTGAATAATTTGAAAATATCATTAATAGTAATATTTGTCTGTATCAGGTGAATTACGGGAATGCCTGTAGCAGAGGTGAAATCCAGCTGGGCAGATGAAGTAGAAGAAGAGGGAGGAGCGTTGCCTCCGCCTTCAGAGACTTATGAAAATGGGTTTAAAATCCTCACTGAATACAAGTACAATCAAGATAATAAAAAGGTCAAGGTAGTTCGAACATATAAGATCGAGAGACGCGTTGTTTCAAAGACAATTGCCGCCCGTAAAAATTGGGCAAAATTCGGAGACTCTGCAGATGACCGACCTGGACCTAATCCTGCTACTACAGTTGGAGGTGAAGATGTCTTCATGCAATTCATTTCTAGTAAAGAAGAGGAAAATAAGGTTGAAGAAGATAGCCTCGACAAGTTGAAGAGTATGGGAGATAAAGGTGTAGTTAAATGTCGTAATTGTAATGGAGACCATTGGACTTCCAAATGCCCTTACAAAGACACTGTCCTTGCTGGAGGTATGTTTCATTATGATAAATTAATTTTTGGAAAGAAACATTTAAGATTATATAATTCTATGGAATATGTGATTTAATTTGCAGGTAAAGTGCCTGATGATAAAAAGCCACTTATTAATACTAGTGCTCCTGGAGCAATGACAGAATTGAAACCTCAGGGTAGTAAATACATACCACCTGGTATGCGCGATGGAGGCAGTAAACGAGGAGATTCTATGCAGATGCAAAGACGCGACGATACTACTGCTATTCGTATTTCCAATTTATCAGAAAGTACTACAGATGCAGATTTGGACGAACTTGTCAAGCCATTTGGATCTGTTCTTAAATTTTATCTTGCAAAGGACAAACAAACTAATCTTTGCAAAGGATTTGCATACGTGCATTTCAAATATAGAGTGGAAGCAGCAAAAGCTATTGCTACGCTTAATGGGTATGGTTACGATCACCTTATCTTGAACGTAGACTGGTCAAAACCGCAGCAGCAAAGTAATTGAGATAAATGAAAATTCGAGTTTCGTTACTTGGATTACGCACCGCGTAAAAATATAAATGATATGCAAATGTGTAATTGTGACACCAGGAGCAGAGTACGATACTTTTCATTTCAAATTTTAATGCATTGCACAATAAAAATTGGCGTAACAAATATATTCATAACAATGTTCATAGTTTGTTAATGTAATTATTTAAATTATATGCGATCAACTACAAAATGGTAACTCTGCTTCCTGGTGTCACAATTTATTATCATTTTTAATTCATTCGAACATGACGTTCTTGTATTCGTTACTTTAAAAAATGATGTATCAATTAAAATGTAATTTGTATTCTTATCTCTTTTTTGATCAAAAATAAATAATATGCCATGAAACTTGGAGCGTATTTATTGGATGTTAACAATTCCTATGTCAGGTATTTTATGATTTTATTTTATTCAAGGAATTGTATAATATAACTAAAAAATGTATACATTTTTGCAATGTATAACATGTAAAAAGAGATTCGTATTCAATTCTATTGTCAAATTTAAGATGAAATCTTCTCTTCGATATTTTTCTAAAAATTTTATATTCAACAAAAATACACTGGATACATTTAAACCTGAACTGAATACATTTAAACTGTTTAAACTTAAAATAATATGATATTATAATAAATATAAGTAGTATCGCTGGCTCTAAGTGTTAGATCCTCACGCGGTAATGTTGTGATTGAAATCGAGAAACAAAGAAATTACGATACAAATAAACGCTTATGCGATACATAGATGCAAAAACAAAAGTAAAATAGTACAAAAGTAATTACACAGGTGTTTATTCGTCACCTGTACGTTAAAAACTACGATTAATACTACATTGTCTAAGTACTTTGAAATGGTAACTCTAATGAACAACCTTACGCTGCTCAACGGAGCCTAATGAATATCATACAGATAGCAAAAAAGCACGTATTAACTTTATCGTTTAATACATACATATATATAAATATATATATTAATAATATATATATATATATATAAATATATATATATATCAGTAAAACAATGTCATTTGAAAATATAATTAACAATACAATTATATATATATATTTTTTTTTGTTTGCGCGTCATCCTACAGTTTTAATCGAAAGACCGTTTTCACTATTTTATTGTCGTTTCCTATAAAATCATCACAGTTTAAACGTGTCCATTTTCGTTCCATTTTTCTTCGATATTTCAAAACCTACAACACCCGCTTATCCGATTTCTCAGAATGCAATTACAGAAAATTTCAAATCATCATGACGCGCTGCCTCGTTTCTCGCTGGTTTCTTTATTTACAATACTAGTCGGAACTCGGACGTCTCTCTCATAAAAAAGGACTTATATATTAGCGAACAATGTTAGTAACATGCACTGTGTAACCATGTAATTCAAGTCAATTTATGAACGAGGATCTCTTTGGGCATCTTTAGTGAGATCTTTCTCGAGCACGATCGTGCCTCTAAATTGAATTTCATCAGTTCCACTGCTACCGAAGCACCTTCACTTTTATTCCTTAAGCAGATCCCATCATGATTTACGACGATCCGCCGAGCTACACGCAAATTTTATTTCTAACAGTTTCCGCTGACTGAACCAGATTGTCAATTCTAACGAAACTTCCAGAGGAAAGCTGTTTCAGATCAATCATTTCTTCTTTAACATTTTGAAGAACAAATTTCATCGCTGTCGATTAGCTATAACTTCTGCTATCTCATTGTTCTTGCACTGTATTGATCTTTACCAAACAGCGCATTTCTTTTTGGGATTCATCTTCGAGCCAAGAGGGCAGTTGAAATCCTTCGAGAACTCCTCCATGTTGGAAAGTGGCCCCAGAACACGGAATTTACCAGGGCTGTGGAAACCAGTGGTAATGCGAAGTTTCATCGCTTCCGGCCTGTACTTACTACACCAAGTGTTCGCTGCACTGATCCAGAACAATTGTTCAGGACTATAAGGGAGTCCTGGCAATTTTGGCTCCGCATGATTTCTTTGTACCCATTCTTGATATGCTAAATAGGCTTCTTTTATTCCTCCGTTGTCGGCGATATTCTCACCTTGAGTATTGATACCATTTAACTGTAACAGCAAACGAAGCGATTCTTTTTTATATGTCTAGATTTCCTTCTTTCTGGATGAATATTTAAGACATGCATTATTTTCTAAACGAATGAAAGTAAGAGAAGGAGGAAGAAATATAACGTTGCATTTAAATTTCTATAGCGTTATTATACATGCCTTCAAATCTTTAAACGAAAGATTTATAAATTATGATGTTTCATCGTCTATTCAAAAAACAATGAACTCGCGAAATTGATACTAAAAAAGAAGGAAACGAAAGAACGTCATCAATATTTATATCTGTATATGCCTAGTTTCAATAAACCTTAGCGGGCAAAAAAGTTGCGTATTATTACAAAATAAAACTGTCAAGAACATGTTCGTTGTTTAAGAAACATTATTCTACGTTAAAATAACTAGTCTACCAAGCCAAATTTCTTGTCTATACCAGCTGTTATCTAACGTTTGATTCACAAGTGCGTATCATGCACGAGTTTGACCTCTGTGAGAAAAAATTCGATATTTGAATATCATCGACGAACATCATCGATGAGCGTTATTTGCATCGTAAGAGCTCGATAAAGTTTACGTAAAGTAATGTATAGGATAAAAAGATTGACATTCCTCAATAGCCCTAAAATTAGAATCCGTATTAAACAAATATTTATATCGGTTGACGCAAATGATCGTGGACAATTGAGAATGAGGAAGAAACAAGACAGCGTATAATAAAAGTCGATCATTACGTTCAAGTTAACATCTTCCACGGTATAGTTGCCGTATTGGTGAATAATACACTCTGCTTTCTCCAGATACTTTTCTTTTGTTTGTGGTGCCCACCAGTCGACCAGATTTCCGTTTTTATCGAATTGCCTGCCCTGATCATCGAAGCCATGCGTTATTTCGTGGCCAATAACGAAACCGATAGCGCCATAATTCATGTACCTTGGTCGATCGTTACTAAAGAAAGCACCTTGCAAGATACCAGCGGGAAATTCTGCAAAAGCATTATACAAACGTTATCGTCTCTTTGGTATCAGTCAACGATTTATTACGAAATTATCATTCCATCGACTTTTATAAAACGATACTCACGTATACTATTCTCGATGGACGAATAAAAAGCATTAACGATGGCGGGTCTTCCGTGAGTTACCCAGTCGGTCTTGTTCACAGGTTTTCTCAGTTTACTGAAAGAATACTCGACCCCGAATAAAGTCAGATTTAAGATACCTTCTAGGTAATTATCTGTCGTTAATTCCAGTTTCTCGTAAAATTTCTCCAGTTTCTTGTCGTCCAGTAATTCGTCGGGGTAGGCGATGTGACTGGACATGCTGGCTGCTTTGTTCAGAGCGCTCTTTCTCGTTTCTTCGTCCATCCAATCGACCTAAAGAACGTCAAATTATCTTTAAATTGAAAAATTTGGAAGCACTCATCGTGGTATCGTAGATGGAAGCGATAAGTCTTCTCATCTGAAACAAACATACCTTTTTGAGTATCTTAGTGAATTCTTGCCTAATATCAGCCACCATGTCTACAGCGTTTTTCTTGGCATCCTCTTTGAAGTATTTCCTAACGTACATCGCGCCGACGCTTATGGCCAAGCTACTGGAAACTGTATCGATGCACTCCTTCCATCTGGGTTCTCTCTCCGTTTTTCCGCTTAACGCCGTGGAATATTGCAGTTGTCTCTTGCGAATTTCGTCCGTCAGATAGCTTACAGAAGATGCGGCTGCTCTCCACATCACGTAGTTAGCTTGTACTCTTTTCGGTGTGGTGGCTAATAATTTTTCCAAGCTTGTGATGTAATTTGGAACGCTGACGATCACGACTTCCTCTTCGTCTACTTGAGCACTAGTCGCCAGAAGAGTGTTGAAGTATTCCTTCCACGGGATACTGGAATAGGTCTTGGATAACTCTCGTATCGTCATGGGATTGTAGAGCAGAGTAGCGTTGCGACGTTTTTCATTCGGCAAAGAAATCTGCAGAATCAGCGTTATATTCGACTCGTTAATCATTCCGTGTTGTTTTGTATATTAACATACGATTTGATTTAACAACTAAACATACATTGGCAAGTTTCATCTCAAATTCCAACGACTCCTTCAATTCAGTTTTTGCATCGGTTTTATTCGCTCCAAGAATTACCGCGATATCGACCATGTAGCTGTAGTAGGCTTGCACGATTTTATCGTCGAAACCTTTGGATAAATATTCGCGCGATAATCCAAGGGCTGCTTGATCCAACTGCAAGAAAAAAACATTTTCAAATTCCACGGAAACGAGATTCTTAAATATTAAATTTCAAATCATCACATTACAAATCGTCTATTCATTTGGCAAACAAAATTACAATTAGCAAGAAACGCGTTTAAACTTAGATAAATATTGAATTATAATTGTAAATGTAATTTGAATTTTCAGTCAATAATTACCATTGCAAAATTCCGCTAAATGGTACAATCTTTAAGGAAAGTTAAATTTGCACGAACAATTCGCGCGTTTGACTTCTACGTTTCGTCGATGTGACTCTATTTGAGAACGATTTCACGTTGGCTGGCTCGAGAGATTAAAGTTTTACGGGCACGCGTAAAGATTGAAAATTCGTTCTGATACGTACGTCGATTGTTCGTTTCGTGCTGTTTTTCAGATCAACGCCGATACTGAAATCTATAAAGTAGTCGACAGAGTAACCCATCTCGCGGAATTTGTACACCGACTCCTTCCAGTTAAACTCATTTTCGTTCCACTGGTCACCTTCCAACACAGGCCAGCCACCGAGTTTTTGCAAAATGTTGAGCAAAGGGTCTAAACCTTGCTGCTCGATGACAGCTGAAATAATTACATTTTCCAATCTGAGTATCTTATTTAATAGCTGCTAAAAAAAAAAAAAAATTCCGTAATCACCCGACCACATATTTTCTCAATCCGTTTTATGTTCTTATTTGTTTCTTCCGCTAACTAAGATACGTCCTGCGATTACCGTTTAACATTTTCCACATACATTTTACTCGCTTATTGCAAGCAGAAGATAACCAATCCAAGTACATATGTATGTACTCACTCTTGTTCATGCAAGCCTTGTATAAATTCTTGGCGAGTCTGAACGGTTTCGGTTCATCCGGTGAACTTTTCTCCTCGATACTGGCTCTTAGCTGGTTCTGCAGCTCGTCGCTAATTTCAGTGAACGTGTTTACGCTGGTCTTGTCATCCGGGATGATGGTAGACTTGAGAAAACCACCGCAAGCGAAATCGTAAAAGTCGTCGCACGGTTCTACCTCGGAATCCATGTTCTTCAACAATCTAGCGGCTAAAGTTTCACGATTTAGCGCTATTAGTAAAATTACTTTCGTGTCGTAATGAAATAGTACAGCGGTAGACAACCGAAATGAACATTCGCGACGATAAAACTTTTAGAAACGTTTGCAACCTTAATATTTATGATCTTTATATAAATTTCAACATAAAGATGTTAAAAAAAAAAAAAATGGAAATTCAGTTGAAAAGATGCTACCTGAAAGTTGAAAAGCTACCTGTTACGGTTACCTAGGTCGACCGGATTGGCTAAAAGTTTTATCGCGACGAATAATTTTATCGAAGTCGATCAAATTTTTACTAACCCGTATGGATACATTCTTTCGTGTAACATACGTCCTCGTCACAGCCGGATCCTTTGTCAATGACATGAACGCCTTTGTTCCGTTGATATCCATTTAGGGCATCGGCTGTGGATGGTAATCCCTCTGAGTTAACAGGATCTACTCTCGTGCAGGCGCAGATGCAGATGCAGTTGCAACACAAAAATAATGCAGGACCACGATGTTAATGATTGTTAGTGCCGATCGTTTTTTAAGCCGTGATAACAAGCAATCTTATCGTCTAACAGAGTACGGATTTCTACTATTAAATTTTATTTTTATTGCATTTACATAGTGCTGTACCGTATATTCGTAAAGTCCTATTTTTCACCAGGAGAAGAATCATTCGAGATGAATGCAAGATACGAAAGCGCTTTCCACGTATCGTATCCACCTGTAACGAGTAGCTCAAAGAGCGGTCTCGAAGAGTATCTCAAGTGATAAAAAGGTGTGGCAGAATAAATACGCTCGTCCGAGAACGAGGAACGTAAAGCGATCTAACCGTTAAATCCCGTCTAACCAGTGGCGTGTCTCTACGTTGTTCCAGTCGCTATTCGCTTCACAGTTTGAACGAACCTTCGTGCAAACACGTGCAACGCGATGCCGCTCAAAGTGTAATCGCAGTAATCAACCTTAAGCGATTGATCCATTCAAACGTGTACAACCACCTCCCCTATCAATCAACGCGAATTCATTGAAAAGCCTGCAACAACCGCGTTCGTCTTCGGCGTTCGTTCCCTTTCTCGTTAAAAAGCATCGTTGTTGCTCCAGAGAAAGCGAGAATAGAGACGCGAGAAAAGGCTTCGCTAGCCGTTCGAAGGCTTACACATTTACGAAAGTCGAGATACTCTGACTGGATCGTAAAACCGATCGTTTTATTCTCATCGATCGACTTCATGACCGTTCGCGAAGAAGAAAAAGAAACATCGTATCGGCGCCATCGTCTCGACGATTAGTTTCTAAAACATGATCGTTTGCCGATGATCCGTAAAAATATTCCGATGATTCATATTTGGTTGTTTCTTTAATGATGGCAGCGGGTGGTCGATCGATACTCGATCGAAAATATACAGATTGGAAAGCCGGGCTTCTTATTTAGTTCGCGGGCGTGGATCGCCGAAAAGCACGACCTGGCCCGGCTGAGTAACTCTCAAAACAATGATCACTTACCTCGATGCGTCAGAATCGGGACGCTCTTATTGACGTCACGACCTTTATACGTTAAATAACGCGTTTCGGATGTGATACGGTATATCCTTCGTCGGCCGATCGTTATAACGAAAGAAAGAGGAAATGTGTATTCGCGGATTCACCATACCGTATAAAGTTACGCGATTATCGCACGAGCAAGTCCGACTTACTCATATGATCGTAATATCTCGTAGACGAGAGAAGGGTAAGACGAGAGTGCTGTTTTTTGGCTTTGATTTCAGGATTTATCTAGTACACGCTACGTTCCGATACGTTAAACGTTACGTAATATCCATTACGCGTATTTTTATCGATCGCTCTTGGTCATCTACGGATAGTGGTACGAAATTTGGCCATTTCAATCGCCAATGATACGCGTGGTCAGTTGGTACGTATTTCCTTTCGTATATGTGTCGAACTAGGAAAGAAATGGGGTAAGTTACGTAACGCACCTGTAGAAGGTAACGAAACTAATTAATACATACGTATATCCTTGGATAAATAGATTTTACATAACGACAACACGATATAAACATTCGTCAGGTACGGTTAGTAGCGGCGATTAAGACTCTCCTGATGGTAGATCGATAGTTTAAACTAAATTACTACGATTCCAAAGGCTAGGAAATTTAACGAAGGAAAAAAGAATATTAGTATACCGACTTGTTTTATGCAACAATACGATATTTCGAGAAACCAAGAGAAGCGCGTAGATTCGCAAAGATAAATCAACGTGAGAAAATAGGTCGCACGTGACACTATCTGTCAATGAAATTTATGACGACTCGATCGTAAGCCCGTTTGGTCAGCTTTCACGCGACTGAAATTCCTTTTTAATATTTTCTTTCGACGTACCCACGAAACCGTTATCAAACCGTTTCCTCGTGCAGGAGATCGAGAAGCTTGTCGCTTCCGAATTTTTATCGGTTGAACGAATTAAAACGGCAGAGAAAGAATTTGCGAGGAAAGAAACGGATAAAACGCGCAGTCTAGTTATTATGTGGAACTAATTTCTATTTAAGTCCATCGCAATTTATATAAAAAGAAAAAAAGAAAAAAAAAAGAAAAAGAAGCAACGCCATTGAGGAAGACAGTACGCGAGCCGGCAAAACTTTTACATCTATCCGATCTTTCTTAAAATCATTTAAAAAGCCATAATACGAGTTGCAACGGAAACAATTTACGGATTATCATCGGACAACCGGTTTCTCCGTTTCCTCGTTGTTTCGAGATACGCGACGATCACTTTGAAGCGCTAATTACAGAATTTTGACGAAAACTGATATTCACGATACGAATCATAGGACTCGATTGATGTTTCAACGATTGTTAATGGTAGCCATTAAACGATGTTAGACAGTGTTTTAATTGCAGCGGAAGTATAACGATGGTTCGTCGTCTTCGTGAATCCACGTTGAAAGTAATTATGGCATTTATAAGCTCGTTAAGGCGTGTACTTGAGTCATACGACCTAACTACAGGAGTGCAATTAGTCGGGGAAAGATACGGAGAACGCGATTCTTATCAAACTCTCTACGTGCTTCGACCGCGATCGAGAACGAGTATTCGATATCGAATACACTTTGTACGAGATCGTGGATTCAGGCATAGGTCAGGATCTTTTGCAAATCGTCAAACTGTGCATTTGCAGATATTCTTACCGTTTCTGGATGACGCGTCGCAGGTTGCGGTGTTCGCAGCCAGAACACCAAGTGCAACAGCCAACGCGATGCATAAAAGCACTCCGCAAACTGCTATCACGGTTAGCCCGCGTTCCAACGTCGATCTCCTCTTCCACCACGTTGGATTTCTGAAACAAAACATAGAATGGTCGAAACGAATATTTTTTTCCTCTCGACGAACTTCCCTTCGCGATCGTTTCATTGTATTATTATCGGCCTGTTTTATCACGAGAAACTTGCGTTTCACGCGATTTGAAATTAACAAGCCAGTAAATAAAGTTTCGCAATGAAAATAAAAAACGATGATGTCAATATTTCTCTTCTCCCTTTCTATCGCGCTGTTCATCTGAACGTCGATAATCTCGCGCTTTTTATAGGAAAAAGAGAGACATGTTAACCGAACGATAAGAAGATGGAAGAGGCATGTGGCGAGATTTTTAACGCTGGAATTATCGAAGATATAAAACTGCTATCAAAGATATCGGAATGAAACGACGTAGGAGAAAATATATAACGCAAAGGAAAACGAGTCTTTATTCGTCGTATCAAAAATCACCTCGAACCTTCAGAAAACGCGTATTCGTAAATTTCTACATCGAATTATTTTAAGAATCTACCGATGCCAGATTTAGGCACAGATTAACAATTTCTACCACATATTTGGGAATTTCGTTTTACGCAATTTGAATTTTAACGCGAGGCCCGTCCAGGCACGTGACCGTCGATAAGATTTACGTCGCTCCTCGCGTATTTATGTCCTTGGAAGGAACTGGTAGATCGTACACGATCCACGAAGATCAATCTTCTTCGCTCTGCTAAACAGCAGCGAGTAGTAAAAGTCGGCTGTTAATGGAAATACGTCGGAGTATAGTTTCGTGTTAATGGTTTCGCGAACCTTGAAGTCTATGTCGAATTAACCGCAAACTATGATTCACAAGAAAAGAGTTCGAGAAAATGGAACTCCATGAGCGTCGATGATCGTTATTTTTATAGTTTCGCGGTGGTACGGTTTCGAAATAGGAAAACCGGAATAGCTTCCTGTTTCGTCGTAAATAAAATCTGTTAGAGAGAAAATCGCATTTTTTTTCACATATACGATATCTCGTAGGATTTCGTAGGAAATAAGACGTAAGGTATTTGGTAACTTTAATAAAAATTCGTATTTTAATAAAAATGAAAATGTAAGACCCAAGCAGAATATCTGGTCGCTGCGATCGATTTTATTCAAATTCAAATTCAATATCTTCTTTTTTTAAAGAATAAACGAGTCTCTAAATGACGATTATATAAGCATTAGTTTTACAATTATATCCATCCTTTACGTAAGTTTGGAGATTAAGCGGATGAGAAATGGAATTCTTGCGAATCCTCTCATGAATAGTTACAAAGCCGCAATTTATTACTCGGCAATCATTGGATCTCGTCCTACATGAACGAACCGCTGCGGGCAAAACACAATAATTACTTTTGTTACTTTGTAAAAACGTTTCAAACATTACCTTTACACGCGTTTATCCCTCTTTTATGACTCATCCGTCTACACATCCCCCTTTTTTTTCAATCCCATTTCACTTTTTATAAATCACGCTGCAATATATACTTGTACTTTCACGAAGTAAAATTAATTTACCGATTGCGAGGCGAATAAAGCGATAGTAGTAGCTCGAAAGCGTTAATAAATTTAATAATAATAACGCGAGGGATCATGGAAAACGCAACGATGATATAAACGTTTCAGAAATACGTTTCAAGATAGAATAGGATTCCGTCGAAAAGATATACACATAATGGTCATTATCGATTTCTTTTGTTGCATTTACCCGCATTGTCACCTCATAGACACAGATCGTTATTCATCGTGACACAACATCGTATTGCGCAATTCGTGTTCTTTGTAAGCTGCGTAACGATTAATCGTAACGCTATTCTTTCAACATCTCCAACAAAATCGAACGGTAATCGAGAAAATTGACAAGGCAGATAAATATCGGAATGTAACAATTTTCCGCTTGATATTATACCACTGTGTATCGTATATCTCTTTCATCGGTAATAAGCAATGGTAACATAAATCCGAGTATCGATTGTAAATAAATAATATGTCAATAAGCATAACGCAAACTAGAAGTAAGCGTAGTTATGAACGAAATGTTCGTCTAACTTTGAGATAATAACAGACGAAAGTCCACGCAATAAACAAATACTACTACTACTACTACTACTGTTATTACTATTACTACTGCCGATACTACTACCATAGTAGTTTTGTGTAAAAACGTTTCTTTATAATTCTGGATTCAGAAAGCAGTCGATAAAGCGTCATCTTTTTATCGCGCGTGGTATAAAACCACGGCTCGCCAGACTGTGTCGCTGGAACTAGCGGTTCGACCCTTTTCCCCGTAGATTCTACGCTCTACGCGAATAATTGCAGCAGTACGAACGAGCGTAGAACGTCGAAACCAGTCACAATATTCTTCTAGATCACCGTTACGCAGAACCTGATTACCTTTCGATAGCGAGTAGTAGTAGCTCGAGTTGGCGGCCAAGCGTGAACTGAAACAGCTCGTACAAATACTACTTAAACGAGCGAAATGCGTTCATTGTTAGCAACATACGTAGACGTAATTTTTTATCTTTGTATTATTTGTAGTAATTTCGTTCGGCTTCTTCGCGATTTTGTTTTTCTTCCATTCGACCGCTTAACGTCGTTTGTATTATATTATCGTTTCATTGGATTTTGTTAGCTGTTACGTTAAAATAAAATATATTTTTTATTTTTATTTTATTTATTCTTAGTCCACGCGTTTCGGCTTTGGACGACTTTCGGTTTACATCTCTTATAATGCCCTTACATCTCGTATATTTCTTTTACTCTAGCGCTTCTATTAAAATTCGATATATTACATTGTAACCGGATCAAATTTTTGAACGCACCTAAACGCGACGTGTTTCGAAATAACTATAATAAATTTGAACAGTAGGAAGTACATTTGCCGTACAATGTTTCAACGTTTCAACGTACACGTTGAAAAGATTTGTTCGATCGATCATGGGTGTAGACGATATAGTGGCATTTATCGATAAAATACAGCCCAAGGCTAACTGGTATAACTTATTCAGCTTATTGGTCGTCGCGTAAGAAAATTAGATATTTCCCAATACTAGCGACGAAGCGAAGAATAGCATAAAACCCGTCGATACTTATTTACGATGACGAAGATTTTTCAATTTCTGGTTTCGCTAGATACATCGTATAGATATCGATCATGGAAGATAAAATTGCGGAATATTTCAAACTTCGTCTCTGTTATTCGAATATCTACTATTCTAATATTCTACTCTTTTGTCTACGAATGTTCCGAAAGTAATCAATATCGATGTTCTATCGTGTAATCTGTAGCTTCGTTATTTGCAAGATGACGATTAATTCAAATAGCGGTGGTACAACTGTACTTTCAATTAGAACATCCTATGCAAAGTAAAGTAGGAAAGAAATACATAGGCAGTAACCATAAATACCGTTTTATAATTTCCGCTGTAAGAATTATGGCTAAATACCGTGCTAACTCTTTTCGTATCGGAAGAAGTTTGACATTAGTACCGCATTTAAGTGCAACGTTTAAAGCGTGTAAACTTTTCAATTGGCAGACGTAACAACGTTATTGGGCAAATAGGTGAACGTTCCCATAATAATAAATATTCTACACGCATAGGTACAATATATAGCTTCGCGTTACTTACGTTGTTATAGCTTTACGTCGTTTGTACAAAGTTTATGAACATAATCTCGCGATTATGTAATTCCTGGTTATTCACACCGCACGATAACCGTTTAATCGTTCTAGTAAAAAGGAATATTAATATGTAATTTATCCGCTCTTTACGCAAATATTATCAAACGAGGTTGATCGTGCTAATCTGTGTTTTGCCATTCGAGTCATCAATGAGCTTATCGCGATGTCTATTTTATGAAAGTTTCATTAACACTCGGTTAATAGCAAAAAATCGACCACTGCTCTCTCTGTCCTATGATATTTTTCTCTTTTTCTGCTTTTTAACGTTGCGTGCCAATTAAAACATTTGAATTTAACTTTTTAAAATCAGAATCTTATTTGATTATCGGAATAGCAAGCTGCGATTGATCGCAATTTCTTCGTCGATCCGAATCGAGCAACTACTAATTAGGATCAGGGTCAGTTTCACCCTAAAAACAGATACGTTTATCGTCTAGCACGATGTTACGTTTACGCGATCTGAGTGTCAAAGGGTGAAACGTGCCGCCATAACAAACTACAGAGTGCAAATGAAACAGGTTTATCTAAGATTAAATATTCCTTTGTCACGTTTTAGACGCGCCTCCGAAACTCTCTTAAAACTCTACGCTTGGCGCATTGACAACTACGTTATCGCTGCTAACTTTACGACAAAACTTAACAGCCCTGCCGTGCGAGTAGCGCAATCAAATTTTAATTAAAAGCAGCTCTCATCGCGTACGAGAGGCTTGATCCTCCTATCGTTTGCACACACGTAGGGTACTGGCATCGAGTGGCAACAAAGGCGAGAGAAGCGAGTAAATCGGCTCACCGCCGTTACAGTAAGTAAACCGTTTCAAGTTGGACGACGGCGTAGCGGGCGTCGAGCCGAGCAATAAGGTTCGCGACGCGATGCAACTCGAGTGTATTGACCTTTTCCAGGGACGGCGTGCACCGGGACGCTTTGAAGTCAATGGCCAAGCTCGTGATAAATCTCGAAGCCGGCTAAAACCTGGGAAAAATCGTTTGGAGCGTGTCCTTCTTTCCCTCCACGCGGTCGAATTTCCATGCCATTAACAGCGTCACGAAACCGACACAACAACGCGCTTCATCGTGTGAAAACTCGGTTACGATCACCCTGACACACTTCCTGTGCGAACGAAACAGCGATCCAGCGGTAAATATCGCGATGCTCGCCGCTCGCGCGATCGATGAATCGATAATGGGTAACTCGACCGTGTAACGCCACTCTTTTTGTTTTTCTCTCCTCTCTCCCTCTCTCTCTCTCTCCCTCTTTCTCTTTAGGATATTCTCTTAGAAGTGTCGTTTGGGTTAATGCGTGTATTCGTCGTGGGAAAAACTGGTCCTGACTCTGG